AGGACCTGCAATAGGCAGATGTTGTTGTTTGATGGTGTTAAAGGTATTGTTGCAGGATGTAAGCTGTTCCAAGTAAAGTTGCTTTTTGCAATTGACTGGTGATTTTGTCAATGGCAAGGTCTTCAAAGTACTCCAGATGTTTTGGAATTGTACCCAAGGCATCTATCACTATTAGTACTATATTTGCTTTCTTTTGCCACAGTCATTCTATTTCTATTTGCAGGTCTTTGTAGTTTGTGATTTTCTCCAGTTCTTTTTCTTCTATTCTGCTGCCTCCACATAATAAATATTTGGGGGTCGCAGAACAATCTGAAACATCATGAAGAGGTGAATGAGCTGAAGAGTTTGAGGACCCCTGGTCTAAACCAGCTGAATCATGTGTACATTGACCTTATCAATTGGTGTATCGTGTTTTGGAAATTTCCAATCTAGAAGACCCATCTAATACCGTCTCTTTCAAGTTTCATGGGAAACTCTTTTACTTTTGATTGAAATTATTACTAAGATTCTAAGAATAAAAATATAAAATGAAGATTATATTATTTAATTAAACAACACAATTATTATTATTGGATTTGGTATACGACTTGCTGTTTCCCATTCCCTTTGAGTCCTTTTAAATGGAATGACTGGGTTATGGTATTTTAAAGCCAAATAACAAGCAGACAACTAATATATATCCACATAATGGGCTTGTCTGGAATGCAGCAGAAATTCAAAATAGGAAGAAATGCATGGTTGTTATTTCTGTAAACATATTTACAAATCTATTCAGGGCAATCTGTGTTTTCTACATGACCCAGAAGTGCTTTCATTTTCACTGAGCTTGACCAAAAGTAATAGCATGACTTGTATATTAAACTTCACCACTAGGGGGTGGTGAATCCATGGTGATAGGAAAGGCATACTGGAAAATTTCAAACACCAAAAAACAAACATTTATGGATGGTTCTCCAGCAACTTTAGAAAATACAAATGCATAATGGGTCAGCCTTGCTGGTCTTTCCTTCCTACAATATTATCACTCTCCAGATGGTCATAGTTCTTCCCACTGCAGTGCATTTACTTCACCTCGGATTAAATTCTTTCACTGGTTTCCCATCACTTTCAAAGATCTATCCTTTTTAACGTTCTCATTGTTTATGGCTATTGACGTATCTGTCTTATCAATTTTCTTCCCTTTCCATCTCTATGACCACTCTCAAGCTACCTCTGTCATACGGCCCATTTTTTAAAAACACTTGTTATACTTCCTTGGGACTTCTTAAACTTCTAATTCGCAGGCTTCTTATTTTTATCACTGAAATAATTTTCCACTTTTGCTTAGCTTATGGTATTTCTGTCTTTCACCATTCTTTTAAAAATTCCTATATATAAAGACTGTAAGTCTTGATTATGTTGACTATAAGCTTCTCTGGATGCACTTATGGCTGAAGAATAGGACATATACTGTATGCTTTAAGTAAAGATATAAAATAATGTTCTACTTATCTTCTTTTCCATATGTTTTAAACAAGACAAGGGAATGGAGTTATTCCTTAGATGCCTACAGCAGTTTTAATTATATCATTCTTCCCAAAACCACTTTAAACAAACTAAAGGGCTCAGGCATGTGGTGCACTGAATACCTATAATCACTTTTATGTGTCAATGAACCAGACAAACCTGTAGTATTAGAGTGCAAGAATGTGAACACAGTGGTAGTGGAAAATACACATTTTCAGTAATGAAAAATGAAAACCCCTAGAACTCTGCAAATTTGACATAAATAAAGTAGGTGATCTAGTGGAGATAAAATATGCACCTGTGCTGATGACCTTGAATAAAAACACATATTTTCCAAAAAGAATTCTCGAAATCCTTACTGGACTACTGGGGAAAAGAAACAATAGTCTGCATTCTGCTACCTATTTTTATTCAGATTTTCTTATTTCCCTATATATTAAGCTTACTTCATTTTATATGTTTCACTGACAAATTGTGAGATTCAATTCAAGGGCCATAGAGTAGTCGTGACCCCAACACTTCATTATACCACAAAAGCAATTTGTGACATTTGAGACAAATTCTCCCCCCCATCTCAAAATCTTGGTTAGGGGTAGATGATTTCAATCACACATTTCTGAGACTCTTCATGACCTAAAAACTTGAGTGGGAAGGAGAGGGGAATTTTTAAAGAATTTCTGGATTTCTAATATACTCTTAAGCATAATAAAACACAAGACTGATAGTGTGTCTAATTTAGGGATGAATATCAAGGCTTGTTCTGTATTTGCTACTTCAGTAGCCTTGGAAACCAGCAGCAACAAGAAGCCCATGACGTGAATTCAATAATGGAAGACCAGAACTTGTTTTGCTGCTGTGCTTCCAAAATGCTTTTACTTTCAGCAGTCACAGACAGCATACAGTATTTTGATCTCACATTCTAGTGAGAACTTTTTTCCCCCAAAGAACAAATAACTTCCCTGGATAGCTGCTCTATCACTTGTTGAAATAAGGGACAGGTCCTCTGACAAATAAACAGAGCATACTGTTTAAAAAGCTACTTCTCAGTCTCCATGTCAGCTGCTGCCTTCAGAAGCAAACAGAAGTTAAAAACCCAACATTTTCTTGTGTGATTTTTAAGAAATTGGGTGGGGTGGGAGGGGGGAGAGAGAGAATCTCATACATTTTTCTTCTTCCTGAAACGAATTACATATTCTCAAAACTTTGACTTAAATAAATTAAGGTTTTACAAATTGTATTTCATGTCTACTGTAATATTAAAGTATGTTCATCTACAATGCACACCCTGGGTATTTTTTTTTTAAATATTTGTTATGACTAAGAATTTTTTCCTTCAAAAATGTAATAAATGGAAATAATGGTAATAAAAATGGTAATAAATATCATATACATCAATATTCTTTGTCACACAAAGCATTTATCTTCAATATTACCTAATATAGTTGGAA